TCTTCAAAAAACATTTGAACAGTTTTCATACTTTTTACCTTTAAAAATATTGGACTGAAATGAATGTCATCAAATAAAACTATTAAACTGTTACTGCAGGGACGTAAAAATCGTCCAGAAACGAAAGCTTCTCTTTTGTTTAATATCCTGGAAACAATAGCCGATAACTTGTCAGCTCTAATTGAATTTACTCCCATATATAAAAAAAAAGTGTTAAGTTACCATTTGTTACTAAGGTTGTGTTTTCACTAGGACAATTTTGGCTAGATAGAGTCGGAAAAGTCCGGAAATGCAGTGAAAACAGTTCGTCTTGAGTTTAGCAAGTTAAAAATACAAGCTGTTTTCACCAGAAAAAACAAGCAATTTTGTTGCCAATATGACCGGAAATTCATGCCAAGTTATACTACCTCGCAAGATGGTATAACTTGTCCTGGCGAGTGCTGCAGCCAATCACATTCTACATGGTGACAGACGGCCGCCAAAGAATCTGGCAATAGTATTTACCAGACGCTCATATTGCAGTTCAGAGTGCGAAACTGAACTTTTAAAACAGTCAACGAGTTCAACAGTCCTTCTCATTTATTTCGGTTTACCATTCCAACGGTCCCATTGGCTTCTCCAGTTCCTCGGCCAGGACACTACCTATGACACGGCGTCGCCTAGCAGAACGAGTTCCTGCATTATAACATTTCGTCGCATCTTCCTCATTTCTGGGGACATTAACCGCATCGTCTGGAAGAAATGCCTTCTCCCTCGCATAAATATAGCTAGAAAAGCGCTTCCTCTCTCAGCCATTTTTGAAAGTTACGCGCTTTCGTAATTTTAATCTTCTGAGTTAAATTTCCAGTGAAAACAGATGTCACGTTTAACTAGTAAATGTTGGTCTGTAAACAAACACCTAGAAAGAATGTTCAGCTAGTTAATCGGCCTAGTGAAAACGCAGCCTAAAGATAGCAAACATCTCGTGGGAAAGAGTGGTGACGATTCGGCCGCTCTAATTGAATTTACTCCCTTGTGAAAAACAAGAGTGTCAAATTACACTTTGTAACTAAAAAACAAAAATATCTTGTTATGTTTGCATGCAGCAAGAACAAAACAATCGTTACCCGCACTTACTATTGTAAACATTAGAACTGTTTCAAATCTAAA